CATACCTCTTTTAGTTTCTTAAAAAATCGACTGTATAAATTAAAATGGCCCACCCTGTATATATTTGATATAATATAATCGTTGTTCTGAATAATTTACAATGACTAAACATTGGTAATAATAATTAGCTGTACTCGACGACATTAGTACGAAACGTTGTGAATTACATAATGTTTTAAATATTTTAATTGCATTCGAAAAAGGTAATTTAAATAAGTATAACACTTAACAAATTATTGTACCGGTAGAATATAACAATGTCATATACGCTTTACGAAAATATAAGACATGTTGACAACTATTTAGTCAAGTACACAATTATCGAGATTTATTGGTAAACAGTCCTTGCTAAGTCGGCTTGAAGTTAACGACTTTCTTCTTACATTCTAATATTATATAAGTCCATATGTCAGCTGATATCACACTACCGAGCCACTGCTTATCACCCCGCTTATCATTATCGCGATCGGATATCATTGGTAACAAATTAGTGCTGCAATAGATTATAATATTTAACTTGTACAATGTTTTATAATAACAAATATTTATGACACAGGATAACCTCGAGTTTTGCGATAATGTGGTGTAATACAGAAAAGATTATTTTTATCTTTATGTGGCTGCTATGCGTGCAGTCGATGATAATGGCACATCACGCCGAGGATAGCTGCTATCTATCAACCAGCTTAATTGAAGAGATAGATTCCTATGCGCCTATTGTGCAGAGAATAATCGATGAATGTACAAAAGGTTCTTTCAAGGGAGCCACGTGGCAAGATCTGGCGACGTTTGTCGACAAATTTGGCCCAAGGTTTACCGGTACCAAGACCCTTGAAGACGCCATTGATTATGTATTGAACAAATCGGTCAGCTTAGGTTTAGATAATGTTCATGGAGAAACGGCTACCGTGCCACACTGGGTCAGGTACAATTCTTAGTAAATGCATAATTAAATCATTGTAAAATGAAAGAAATGTGATAACAGTTGAACAATAAATATTCAGAGGCTCGGAATCCGCGACTCTTTTGCAACCACGGCCGAAAGACCTGGCGCTGTTGGGACTGGGTTACAGTGTCGGTACTCCGGAAGAAGGTATCACGGCTACCGCTATCGTAGTCAACGACTTCGCAGAACTTAAGAAAAGGGCGGAAGAGGTAAAGTTACAGAGAAAAAAAAGTGTCAGGTCAACTCTGATATACACAAATTAACGCGTTCATTCGTTTGTATGTACGCAACGACCTACAATCTTCTTAGAAGCATTTAATAATCTTACATTTCAACGATATTACAGTCTTATTTAAATATTCTAATTGTCACTGGAATAATACATATAATTATTTTAACAATAAAATCATTTTAATCATTATAATCTTCGATTTAAAAATATGTTATTTTCTGTCCAATATTGTTTCCTTTCCATTCAAAAAAATTATTCTTGAATAATAAGCATATTTTTTTCTCGGTTGAATTATATAAAATTGCCTCAGCCAAGTAAGTTTTTCTTCCTTTAACGCAATATATATAATCTCATTTCGAGATTTTCACGTTGAAACTAAACATATTTTCAAAAAAAGAATATTCTTTTTTTTTCATGTAATGGAAAGAAAACCGAGATGTTTTGTGCAACGCGTACTTTTCTTCGTAATTATAATGAACTAATTTTAAATGTACATATTAGGTTCCCGGGAAAATCGTCGTATACAATCAAAAGTTTGTCTCGTATGGGGAGACCGTGGAATATAGAAGCTCGGGAGCCGTAAGAGCGGCAGAATTGGGAGCCGTGGCAGCTTTGATCAGATCCGTAACGCCATTTTCATTGTACACCCCGCACACCGGCATGATGAGTTACGCAGAGAACGTTACTAAAATCCCGGCCGCTTGTATAACTGTCGAAGACGCGACTCTTCTGGGAAGAATAGCGGACCGAGGTAACGAACAAGACATATTTTGTGAGCTCTTCGTTGGACGCATGACTAGTGGCATTACGTTTATCTATTCCAGGTGAAACGATAGTCATAAATTTAAAAATGGAAGCGAAACAATTCCCCGATACTCAGTCGCGAAACGTGATAGCGGATATCACTGGCTCTGGCGCGCCCGAAAAGGCAGTCGTCGTTTCCGGACACATAGACAGCTGGGATGTTGGAGAAGGCGCGTTGGATGACGGAGGCGGCATTTTCATATCCTGGAACGCATTGAAATTGCTGAAACACCTCGGCATCCGCGCGCGAAGAACGATAAGGTAGTTACAAATATTTCGAATATAATTTGATTCTGTCCAATATTCTTTCCTTTCCATTCAAGAAAATTATTCTTGAATAATAAGCATATTTTTTTCTCGGTTGAATTATATAACAGATTGATCTATATCGTTACGTGACAAATTATGAATATTGCAGAATGATAATGTGGACTGCCGAGGAACTTGGCCTTGTCGGAGCGGAGCAGTATATACGAAATCACGCTGCGGAGAATGGAAATATGCAATTCGTAATGGAATCCGATTTCGGCACTTTCGCGCCCGTGGGCCTCGAGGTCTCGGGAAACGAGATGGTTCAATGCGTAGTCCAGAGAATAATGCGGTTAATAATATTCCTCTACAGATCACATAGTTATAACAGTTTCCTTTTCGTTCGATTTATACTTATTACATAATACGAAAATGTTTTATTTTGAAATTATCATTCGTATCGTTGAAAACTTTCAAGTTTCGCAAGAAAAGAACGTTTGCAATTTTCATAGCACGTTACAAAATGAGCAATGAGTTCTTTTATGTCTCTAGATTGTTAGCCCCACTGGGTGACATGGAAGTGAAGAGCCCGTGCACGGCGCCTGATATTTCGTTCTGGATTAAAGCTGGCGTGCCAGGTGGCGGTCTCTTGAATCGAAATGAAAAATATTTCTACTATCACCATACCAACGCGGACACCATGCTGGCAGAAAACCCGAAAGCTCTGGATATGAACACAGCCCTATTCGCAGCGGTGTCATACGTTCTAGCGGATATTAGCGTTGATCTGCCTCAACGCAATTGCACTAGCGTGCCGTGTTGAAATCAGCTTGATGTGTGCAATGTACCTATATGTAAATCACCAAAATCGCGTATTCATAGTGTTTTATTTCAAACGTGCCTGTATGTACAATCACAGGATATAAACGATTAGGCCTACTACAATTATGCATTAGTCTAAACTCTTCAAAAGTACGTGATCAAACGTGCTAGATTTTACAAACCACTCCCGATTTCACCTCTTTGCTTGCTTAACGATTTCATTAAAAGATCTTTCAAAGACTATTCACACAAAATATACTATATCGCGGCTACCTCGCAAAAATTCTATAACTCTTATCAGAACATACGTGTTCCACAAAGTTCAATTATCGGGATGTATACGCCTCATATTTACGGCTCACTATCGATAAAAATAAATCGTGTTGGTATAAAAACATTTTTCACGCTAAATTACAATGGAACGCATATGTCTCTTTAGTCACGGAGTATTTAAGAGGTAAATGAGAATTTGTTCTTATATAATCGTTCGTACGTTAATCCCGATAGCTAAACGTGACTTTTATCTTAATATTCTTGCTTCTCGCGTCGATCGTGTTAAATTATCAGTCTCAATCAAGTAGCAATGAGTTTTACGACTTATATCAACGTATCTTCGTCTTGATTTGGGAAGACCATCAACAAAGAATGCTGGGAAGTCGTTCTCTGGCTCGAAGTTAACAGTGCGGTTTTTTCACCTCCGCTACCGTTGATCGAGCAATCTGGGGAACTGCCATCGAAGGCTATGTAATTAGTAGTCGTGCTGCTTGTGGATGGCATGTCGTTTAAATCCGGCGATGCCAGAGGCGGCGCCTGGCCCGAGCGAGCATTGGCACCATCCAGTGACACGATCTGCATACTGTAGGACTCGCGATATCCAGAAGTGCTGGACGTGTCTTCGTCCCAGGACATGTCTGACACCTGAGGGTGCGCGTGGTGATGAAAGTAGTGGCAATGGTGGTGCTGATGCGCCGCCCCATGGAACTGCTGCTGCTCCGCAGATGTGTTGGAGTTTTTGTCACCGTCCGATTTGCGAGTAGATAAACTTCGCTTGGAACGAATGGACGAGGAATTGGATGGGATGTTAGATGACAGCGGTTCCACCGCTGCCGACGACACCGTCGCTTTCGGTTGACTCGTTGGTTGTTCCGCTAGAGTCGCGTCCGACTGTTCCAACTTGGTTTGCGTCGCCTGAAAGATAGCATTCTATGTCCGCGAGGTACCCCCAGAATATAATATGCTATAAATAATTAGTTAAGTCACAATTAAAAGTAAAAGTACGATGACAATGAGGATTATCGAGAAGCTGTATGCAAAACTGACAAGTTTCTGTAACGTAGTAGCGATCGGTAACTTGAGAGCCCGGGAACACTGAAAAATATATATGTGCAAGTGTTATCACCTCAATGTGACTCTTTCGACTTTTTCTTAAGCGGAAGGTCTTCTTGCTTTGACCCATAGAACGTTGTAAGCGAGGCCTGTCGGTACGTAATTCTCCGGAACTGTCTTCGGTCGGACTGCTTGGACTTAGCTGGCCCGTCACCGTCTCCCCTGGCAGGACAGTCGATGATCACACATGTCGCGTCTACCGTCTTATTCACGAATTCTACTCTACGTTCCATCTACTCATGCTCCTCTTTCGAAGTGTATGATTCAAGATTGCTTTTCATGTGCTCGGGAAATATTTTACATCCGCGTCCTGTGCTCCATGTAACATGGCACTATGTACATCAAGTAATAAACGTAAAATCCTATCGCGATTTCAAATATATTCGACTTTCGAATCTTCAAACATTCTTCGACACTCGGGGAGGAATAGAAATTATATAGAAAATTATAGAGTGCATTCATTTTGGACTCGAGTCACATTTAGATCGTTAATTCTGAAACGAAATATTTCGGCTTTGATATTTAATGAATATATATCCATATTTGAAAGATTGAAATGTTTCCATGCTCGTAAAAAACACGAACGAGTGTAAAAGATTGAGACATTAATTTCGAAGTTATCGCTGTATAGGAAACGTCCTTTAAAAATTGACATGATGGTGGATTAGCGCTATGAAAATTGTTTATCTGTATGGAATGCGGTATCGTACGTACGTCGCGTATTAAAAATCGGAACGTATTTAATATTCTTCTAGAAAACGTCACAGTATCTGTTACGGGCATGCAAGATTGTATTTGCGAACGAAACAGATCATTTTTAATTGCCTCGGAAGTGACAGCATGGCGTTAAAAATCAATTCACAAGATTGCATATGCTTATGTTACATATCCGCGCATTAGATAACGGCAGGACGAATATTTATGTCAGAAGAGTTGCATGAGAAACTTGTCGCAAACTCACAGAATTAATTAAATATGAAAAAGGAATGTAATGCTTGTCACGTTACGCGTAAAAAAATTTGAACGGTTTTCATTCTTAAATTATTCCCTCCCCGCAAATATAACTTGTATATTCTGGCAGTAACAGCGGCTTATACTGGGTTATTTAATGAATGAAAGTACGATGCATCGAATTAACTTCAACTAGTCTTTTCTTAATAAACTAAATGAAATTAAAGCATAACTTAACAAAGTTCAATAAAACAAAACTGGTCACGTTTACTTTACAGTTGTTACCTCATGCAATAGCCGTGACGAAATTTCGCAATGTCTAAACTACGAATTCACCTCTATGTAATTTAATCTTTAGATAATTTCACGTCTCTAATATGTCGATAAAGAATGATTGTTGTGTAATAAAGCAGGTATACAAAATGATTAGCCGATGCAACTAAAGGTGTAAAAAAAAAGAATTGTTTTCTACAATCTTGCATTTTTTTTAATTTAAATTTCAGTTTAACGCTACCTGTTGTGCAAGAACGCGGTAATGATATCGTAGTGAAAAGTAGATTATAGTATGTGCGATATATCGACATTACTACAAAAAGCAGGTGAATTAAGTAAATTTAGTAGAAGTCTATTCTGCAAAGTTGTAAGATATATTTTTTAAGTCATGCCTCATGTGACTTTTAATTCTCGAGAAGCAGGAATGAGAAGAGAGTTCGGTGTTCTATAGCTAGAGTACAATCTCTGCGAATTCCTTCAATTCATCCATTTTTGCAGTAACCTTTAGATACTGTACCATATTGGGAGAAGGAGGGGGGGTCTTCCAAGGGACATATTAATAAATATATTGTGTATAAGCTAAAGCGGGGACTGGGGATTTACCTGATGAGTTTCTAAACTCTACGGAAGAGACAAAGCGCAGCTTTGGCGCCTTTTGGTGAGGTAAGATAGAATGAAGCTTAACATGGTTACGTTCATCGCTAGTAGAAGATGATTGGAATCTATCTGAAACATGCCACATCGAACGTCTAGTATGAGGGAAGGGATAACAAGTAAGACACAGACCACGATATATTAATCATCGTCGATACGTTGTTCACGATCCTACATCGTGTCGATGTTGCACACTTCGAGCCTGAGTCTCGGGAACGTCGAGTGTGATGCGATAAAGTGTTAATGCCTTAATGATTTCGTCGACTGAGAAATAAAGTTACCAAATTTGCAGCTTAAGACCTCCATGAGTGATTCGCGACACCTTTACGAAATTTTCTGTTTCCCGATGTATACTTAAAGTGATATGTCGTACGAGTCCCGAAGTGGCATTGTATCCATATGTCGATTTTATAATTCCAATGGGACAAAATGTTGCGCGACATTGACATATGCACGACGTAGATTACGTGAATTGCTGTAAACACCTGTACGATGTTGCTTCGATTAGAAGAGATGTGTTAAATGTCGGTAGGCTACGTTATAGAAAGATTATTAGAGCAAGCAGTAGTAAGACAAAAAGAGTTTGAAAGTGGAAGACTTTCGTGATATCCGAATAATTAGCTGAATGTATCCTTCGGGCTGAGAGAAGACTGCTGGAATTGAGTGTATTGATACGGAATTGTCGATACCGATACATGTTGTCGTCGTGCTAACTGCGAAAATAATTAATGACAATTAGTTTCGTGCTGTCGAGTAAAGGAGGAAAGCGACAGAACATCGAAGCAACTACGTAGTGGAGAGTGACTACGCAACGATCAGTAGGGTACCAACTGTTGGACATTACCATTGTCTAAATACTGCTATGTAATAAATTCCTTATGAGTTTGCGTATAAAACGTGGTAAAGGAGGCGATAATAGATATCAGTGTTTTAAGAGAAAATACCGCGAAATGAGATTGCGCGCTCTAGAACTCGTTTAAGAACTCAGATTGTCATATAACATGTTCATATGTATTTTATGATCCTTTTCTTGATTGTACGTCACGTTTTGATTACATCAAAACTGATAAATTCATTTGAATCAATCTCGTTTCACGGCAAAAGGGGGGGGGGGGCAGTAAGAAGTGGGCGAAGACCGAGGTAGACGACGCAAGAAACAGGGCGAGCGATCGAGGAATGATCAAAATTACAAAAAAGTGATAAGCGTGAGAGGGGCACACACCAGCAGGATATATATCATAGATCGTGTTAGAATTGATTGAGTTGTAGAATCGGTCCGCTTACCTCCGTTCCCTAGCTAGCAATGGAAGCAACGTAATGATCAATGTGTCAATAATACGACCAGGGAGAAAGAGAGAAAGAGAGAGAGAGAGAGGCGCAAAACGACTTATGCCTTAACACGACGCCTTAAATGATATGCGATTAATCGAGGGATCTTTTGCCGATTGTGCGAACGGCATTGCTATCGTGTGAGACGAGAATTCTCGTCCCTGAACGAAAGGAAAAGAACTATACTCTTCGAGTTGCAAGCCTCGCTGTAAAGAGGAAAATGAAGTGAAGACATTGTGCAAGAACCGCGCAAGAAACCACGAACGAAAAGGAAGAGATAATCATTGTTGCTAACAAAGAGACGAAGAGAAAGAGAGAAAAAGAAAGAGAGAGAGAGAGAGAGAGAGAGAGAGAGAGAGAGAGAGAGAGAGAGAGAGAGAGAGA